TTTTTCTCCCCAGTGTTGTTTTTTTAGTATTTATTTTGAATACATTGTATTTCAGCAGCTACTGAACTTTTTACTTATTTCAGGATCTAAAACAGTCTTTAGCAGTGTGCAGCACCTACTTTTCTAGTCAATGTCTTTTCTCCCTTAAAAAACAGGATCTACACATACAAAAAAAAATTTAAAAAACTTTTTAAAAAAAAGGAAAAAAAGAGAGACACACTTTGAGGTAGAGATTAATCATGCAGCAAAAGATTAATTCCCAGCTGCTTGGCAACCATCTGGACATTCTACTGGTTAAAACACTAGTTTGAATTGCTAACCTACCTCTTTGATCTTTCTCAATGTCTCCAGCACATATGTGCAATAATTAAAGACACAGTTCACAAACTATTGCCAAAAAAAATTAATAAATATCTGAACGTGTACATATATATCCCCATGACCAGACCAATTAGTATCAGGAATTATAAATCACAAGTCGGTTTATGAAAACATGTCTCATCCTGACATGCACTCTATGTCTCACCCCAGTCTAGCAATAAAGTAAGGTTTGGGGTTTATTACATTACATTCTGAAGAGTTATCAAAGCAAGACAGGATGCTGTTTCCTCACATGGAAGACAATGGACAACTTGCACATGTTCTTAGGAACAGGACATTAATCAGCCAGGAATCATGTTAACAGAAGTCAAGATTGCTGCGTTTTTAAACACGAACTAACAGATTACCATTCAGAACGATTACTCGGTGGCGAGAATCAGTTTACAACCGAATTCTCGATATAAATCAGACCTTGCATTCAAAACAGACATCAGGTTTGTGGATAAAAGGAGAAAATTCAAATGAAGCAGGGAATATTCAAAGCCACAATACACACTGCTTGGAATAATTTTAAGGGGAATAAAAGTATTTTCAGAACAAAGTTGTCATAAGAAAAACACTATGGAAAAATGAAAATCAAGATGAAAGCAATAATTGTGTTTTATCTGCCTATCTGGATTTTCTTACCCCTTCTTATGGGCCAGACTTGTGTCAACAGAATTCAGCATGCATCCTTACATTTTACAAAGAATAGTCACCAGAACTAAAAAGCTAAACAATTTCTACCTCTTGGAAAACAACGTTTATGAGCAGAAGCACGACTTGGACAGTTCTGGATGAACAGAACAAAAGAAAGGGAACAGTAAAGGAAGATTAGTGGAAGGAAAGAACAGAGGGTCCAGAAGGAAAAAAAAAAAAAAAATAATTCCAACATACTAAGGTCCAGTTATTGTAAGACTCAAGTTTTGGGACCAGCTACAGATGCCTTCAGAATTCATGTTTTCAAAAAGTCCATCGAAAACATCTTCTTCCTCTTAATAAACACCTCTGAGCTTAAAAACCATAAACAGGATCACCAGCCCCGTTACATACCCAAGTCCATTCCTTTGGCTGTATTCAGCTCTCCCAGTTCCACATATATATGCATTGATATCCACCTACCAAGTAGATTTAAACTTACACATGAGCACACAAACACTTTTATTTCATTACAATATACAAGAGAACAATACTGATAGATTTTGTCACCATTCTTGGAAGATATGAGCAAAATATCTGTTTTCAATGAGGAAAATACCAAATCTGTGATGTAGCTAAAAGCACAAAAATGTTAAATTTTACATTGGTAACAGCTCAGTTTAATTACAAGAGCCCTTCTTTTAGGATACTGTCTCCACATTAGTTTTATTTATTGCTCTTAATTTGGCACATATTAAAAGTTCCATTCATGTTATTTAAATACTTTGCCCTAGAACTGAGCAATTAAGAGAAAGAAATTAAAACCAAAAGGATAACGCTCACTGATCACCATCTCCTTCTAGCAGCAGGGACATGCACTTTTTATACTCAGGAGTTCTTTCTTTTGTGGTTTGTTTGTTTTTTCTCTCCTGATACTCCTGATACTTTTCCATGATAACACCAGCAAGTGTTATTTACGCTCCTTCCCAAGTTCTAAAATTTTCTTTCCTTCCTGCATTCTTTCCTCTACATTCTGTGTATGATCCCTCCTGGGGAAAATGCATATCACAGCCTTGTGTCTCCATTTCAAGTTACAATCTCCTGCCAGATAAGTGAGAACCACAGTAAATCTGCTGCTTTCAACACCTTCAATTCAGAACACTTTTAGCCAGACCAAGCCTTAACTATAACATCATCACTGCAGCACACTGATTTTATCTTAACATAAATATATCGCTACATCCCAACACTTCTGGTGCAGTAAAACTACAGACATGGCTTGATCTTTTTAAAGAAAATGTGTCATGAACCAAATGGGAGTGCTCATTCACAAAGAAAAAAAGGGGGGGGAGAAAAACATAAATAAAGATTATAAAGATAAAGGTTCTAAACCGCCTTTTTTTTTTTTAAAGGCTGCATCTTAAAGATAAGATTCTCGAACACAAAAAACCCCACCCTCTTCCTTTTCATCTTGTTTCCATTCGTCAACCCACCAAAATGTATTTTCAGGGGAAAGACATGTCTTTTTCCCATTCTCTATCTAGCTCATCTCTCCTTTTCTCTCTTCCTCAGTCCTCATTCCCCAGGACAAATAGGTGGAAATGATCCCACAGTTATTCTGCATCCAGTTCAGAAATAGAGTGATAAAATCAAAAGTTAAGAAATAGAACGTCTTTAAAGAAATACCAAATCTTCTTTAATGGATACATCAGCTAAACTGATTCTCTGAGAAAGGTCAACAAAATATCCTTTTTTATTAACACAGCTAAATTTGCTGAATTGCAGAAGAATTTCAAACCCATATCTTAGCAGTGACAGTGGTTCTGTTTTTCTGAAAAATCACAAAGAAGAGCTTTTTCTTTCCCACCTCCTCTGCTCAGTGGAGTATCGGGTGGCACTGGGGATGACCGAAGGTGAAGTTCAAAGGGAGGCTTTTATCAAGACAAGCCAGTGGTACCATCTGTTCTGCTTTGCCTTACCGCTGAAAACCGATATATTCCTGTTTTGTTGCATCCTCCTCGCTTGAGCCCACGATTTTTTCCGTAATGACAGTTTCCCAAATGGTTTAATCCATGTCAGAAGTATTTGGGGAAAAAATGACTAAAAAAAACCCCAAACCACTGCCTGATGATCTTCACATTTTCATAAATCTGTGATGTGGTTATCACTGAAAATGGCCATGTGTTTAGCATTACAGAGTCAAAACAGGTGCAGGAATGGTTTATGAACAAAGGTCCAAAGGTTAAAAGCAAAAAACCACAGTTATCCTATTTTATGTTCTCCCGTCCTACTACAAAGCAGTTGAAAACAGTTAAAGGTTTACCAAAACTCTTTTGTCTGGCACTATTTTTCTGTTAATACATTTACATTCTAATAAATGAAAAGGCTTTATTCTTAATTGAGCTTCACAAACAAAGTCAGATGAAAACACATTTAAGTTTTCTACTTAATAGCACACACATGGTGATTGTGAAATACTGCCTATAACCCTTCCAGCTTCAACTAGTCCATGGTTGAGTACCATTAGCAAAAAGTACTGGATTTTTACTGTGTGGTTTAGAGGATTTTTCCACTGAACTAGCAAAGTATTCACCGATTATTTTATGTAGCCACTTGGCACGCAGTCCTGTTTATTTAATTTCAAAATATTATTTAAACGACAACACTGTGCTTTCAATTTACTTATTTTTTGGTCTGTTTTCACATCTTATGAAACCTTGTCTCATCCTGAGGCAATGGTGGTTTGAATGTTGTCAATACAAAAGAACAGTCGATATTAGACCAGAGCACAGAAAGTGAAAGGCTCATGGATTGTGCAACTGCTGGATCAGGCCTCTTATTTAAGTATCAAATTAGACTGCCAGCCATCAGCCTAAAGCAGACTCTCATGTACATTACTTTACAAACAATTGAAGTATCCACAAACCAACTGTATTCTCCCTGTGTCTCAGCCAAAGCTGTCTTCTGAAATGTCTCGAAAATCCCTTCAGGACAGTTCTAATTCACAAGTGTCATTACGACACACCATGTAAAAGGAGGGACAATTTGGAGGTTTGCAGAAGATGCCCCTTCATTTCCAACAGGTACGTGTTTGGAGTCCTGGGCAGGTCTAAGAACTTGGGGATAGCGAGGGAACCATGGACACATGCCTCAGTTATCCAAGAACATAGAGCTGAAAACAGAAATTTGAAGGGCAAAAGAGAAGAGTGTTGGAGTTTGGGTTTTTTGAACCATTTTCCTAATACAGGTTCCATTTAATTTCCAGTGACATTCCAAAAAAAAAAAAAAAAAAAAAAAACCCTCATGCTTATGCAGCTTCAGAAGAACGTGAAACACCTATGTGCTAAACACAATCTATTTGAGTTTTATCCCATGACTGGTGCTTCCAATAAACTGAGTAGCTTATGACAGACGTATCATAGACATACAACTTCCTTTAACTATGAAAAAGGCAAAAAAGACCACAAAACTTTACTTTTGCACACACTCAGAACAAAATAACATACTATGAGAGAATTAGAGAGGCATGCTTTGACAGCAACCTCACCAGTTAACAATGTTCGAAAGAAGTAACACAAAAACCCACACGAATAAGAGGACTGGAGCTACATGAGGCAAATATAGAAATAACGTAGGTCCTAGAAATAGAAATAAGGCCTAGATCTGCAGATTTATAAAGGTATACGGAAAGTAAACAAAAGTCATCACTGAATCAAGGTTTCCACTACTTCTGTTACAAGGCAGTCTGGAAAGTTTCTAGTATTCAAAAACCCTTCTATGATAAAAATTCCTTCAGCCAACGTGTTCAGAAGTCTTTTTTATTCGCTAAGTAATTGGGAACTACATTAAGTATTTAATGAAAAGCCCTGTCACTTCAGCAAAAGTTCTCTTACATGATATTTTCTGCTAAAACAAGCTACTTTGTGAATACCCAATTCCCAAAGAAAAAGCCCTAACTTACTAATTTGGGTCTCATTTTCTTTTTAGAAAAAGTATCTTACCTCTTTTTCACGCATTCGTAATAGTGAATGTTCATCCCGAGAAGTGCTACTTCTGCCTAGGCCAAACTTGGGTGTCATCTATTGAATGAGAAGAAGTTCAAAACAAATTCAAAGCAGAAACTCCAGGTAAAATTAATCCTAACCTGAAATGAAAAGTATGAAGCACATTTGCTCACTATTATAAGGGAATATAAATACCTACCAGAGACATTGGCATCGGTTTTTCTCGCAAATATCTTGGATTTTCTAACTGAAAAACAAGTTAGAGAAAAAGCAATTATGTCAGCAGCGTCTTATTATAGATAGTAAGATCTACCTCCAGATAGTAAGAAACATCTCCAAATATTCAAAAAAGTTTGCAGTGACAACTCTGGGTTTACACTTTGCGAGGTCATCTGTACCCAACACAGCAACCACAGCCCTCGCAAGAACGACGGCACAGATTTAAGCGTGCCTTGAGACATACACAGCAGTTCAAGGGCTGTTTTCCAACACAGTTAATCGGTACATCTCAAAACGGCACCACCGCCAGATACACGGTTGTAACCTAGAAGTAACTCCCAAATTAGTCTTCCTGCACAGAATCCTCTCTCCTTTAAAACTCTGCAATGATCCTTGAAAGCACTCGGCAGAATGCCAAGGCCCGTTAACACACTGCCCTCTTCTACGAGTTATAGAAGTAGAAAAATCTTTGTAAGAGACCATTTTGTTGGACACGACCTACTCGCCAAGTTTGAAAATTCTAGTGTTTCCTACAGCAGGGGCCAAAAATTACCCTCTTTTCCGTTCTAAAAACACCATCAATGCATGTTTTAGAAGGATTTGGTGGCTAAATACATACAGCTTCTGCCACAGATTTCCAACTTCCTTGGGTAAACTCTCATTTAAATCAGTGTAAAGTCAGAATAAACGTACAGATTACGATGATTTTAATCTAGCATTTTTGAAAAATTACAGTTGAGAGCACCGCAACTATATCCACACATGTAAGTCATAGAGACAAAGCATCAGGAAATAATTCATTAACACTACTGTGTAATTAAAGCAGCTCTTTTAATCACTATTTTTAAGAACCGAATACAAAACATTGTTCACAACCCACTTCCTCTATCAGACAGCTATATCTTTTTAATTTTCTCAGGCGATGAGCCTCAAACATCAAATCACAGAGAACGCATAACACCCAAGAAAAGCTTTCAAGGGTATAATCTTGTAAAATGCGGCAGTGAGATTTGGAATAGCAATGTGATTGCAATACGTATCTTACAACATTTAGTCTTTTTTTTTTTTTTGTTAAGATTAAATTGATCTATGAGGCATGGCAAATATATCAAATGCTTGCACTTTCTCCAGGACTATAAAAAATAAATTTGTGTGTTGAATTTATCAGTGAAAAAGAGGCTTAATCCCTCTGAAATTTCAATTTGATACAGTATTACTAATTTCCTGTCCTAAAAGGTTATGTAGGATTTCTAGATGCTGTGGAAGAGTTGTCATATTTCACCCAGAAGTTGTAGATATTCACGTGTTTAATACACATATTCAATGGCAAGCTGTAGTATTATCAAATATTTTAATACTATACTTGGAAGTATAAGAAAACCAGTAAGTTAATAAGTAACCTCTTTCTCTTTATTGTCAATGAGCTCTCTAGACTAAATATATTAAACTCTCTCTTATGTAAAGCATCTTGAGTTGTTTTTATTTGGGGTTTTTTTTGTGTCTTTTTTATTTTTTAAGTATGCCACAACGATTGGCATGCAAAAACCATCGGCAGACATTAATGAGTAGAGGCATTCCATATGCACCTACTGCAAAAAAAATAATAAAAAAACCCAATAACCTTGGACACAGAAAAGGCAAGTGGTGAGGAGAGCAATACAGGAGAAAGAATGTCACAAAGCATTAATCAAAAAAGATAGATAACGGGGAGGGGGGGTGACAGCAACAACAACAACAAAAAGACAGAAATAAAAAGTACAGAAATCCTAAATCAGAACATTTTAGGAGGATTTTCTTTGCCCTACACAACTTGCACCCCACAATAGTATTTTGTATCTAAAATTATCTAATTTTACTAGTATTACATTCTTCCTTCTAGATCATTTTATCTGCTTCCCAGCCACCCCTCACACCTGTTCACCACCCAGGCAGACACCCACGACTGAAGATGCCTGTGCCTAAAATGTTCAAGGCAGATCCCAGCTCTGGCTCCCCAAAAAGCTGCAGGTAACATCGAAAGGCCTCGCCAATACCTCGTGCGATTCCAAGAAGGCTAAGGCTGTAGAACCAAATTTCATTTGGTTATTTAATCCAATTGGTTATTTAATTATTTTCCAAAAGCCCTCTCTCTCATGCAAAGCAAATACAATCACACCTTAATTTTGCTTTTTTTTTAAATCTAAAAATTATTGTAAACATTTACAATTAATTCAAATACTTCATCTGATCATGAAATTAAGCTCTTTACAGTCTTCATTTCAAAACCAACCTAAAAACCCAAGGTATATCCTATTTGTTTATGAGAAAGAAGGAAAACGTGTCTCTAATACTCTGTACAGCCCAAGTCTTGCATTTTTTGATTTTGTAACAGCAGCCATATGTGCTTTGAAGTTAAATGTTCCCACTTTGTTACTTGTTGTGGATTATATCCACTTAAACTGATCTGTAAACATTTAATGTCTCAACATTCATTCTTTTCATGCTGGTCTTCTGCAAAACTTCTTGTTCTCAAAATTATACCACATTAAAGAGGGAATATCACAATAAAGAATGCCCAAAAAAAGGAAAAAAAAAAGCTTGTATTTATGAGAAACATGCAAATTTAAAAATAATAAGCAAAAGGTCAAAGACAAACCAAAATACATATGTATGAAACTGAAGGACTGCCATGAGAAGAACAGTAAATCACATGGGTTTTTAAGAGTATGAACCAAATAAATGTCATCATGAAAGACATCTTTATTTGAACTAGAATTGAACTCTAATTTGTAAATATCACTTCTTAACAAAACCAGCATTTTTCATTTCTTTGTAGAAAAGAGTTTGGTTTCTCCTGTTCTGTTTGTCAAACAGACAACAAACCATGTTTCTATCTGTGAGGACTGGCACAGTCACCTTCCAGTGCTTGAGTCCGCACAAACCAGCTGGGAAGGCTTTGGAGGATCCAAACCCCATTAAAACACCCCCACTATTTAACAGAAATAATCTACTTGATGGAAATATACTTCTTCTCCTAAATTAATTAGTGCTGAAGTGATGCTTGGATCTTCAAGACCTTTTCCAACCTTAATGATTCTAAATCAAAAAAGGTGTATTAGAAATTCCAAAACTGACTTTTGAGGCAAATTAGTAATAATTTTTAACCTTAGTGTTTTCAATTTCTGTTTAATACCACCTAAAGCAATAAAAAATAAACATTTTGGAAGTACAAAAATTTAAAGCAATGAGTGAAGCATTGATAAAAGTAAATGGAGCTGAAATGGTTTTCCCCAAAAGCAAGAATAGGACAGAAAAAGCCCAGTTTTGAGTAGTAGGTGCTTCCTACTCATCCTCAGGACAGCAACTATATTTCATCCCTCAGGCTGAAAAGAGCACACAGGCATTATAGCTGTCAGAGGCCATAAACTCACTCCAAAACTTCTGCTCTTTTGACACCCTAAATAGCACCACCACAACATGAATGTTAATGCTTCCATTCTATCCCTTCCAAAGTCACATTTTCTTCTTCAGAAAATGTTTATCAAGATACATAATGCAAGACCGTAGCTTACCGGGTTCAGTAACAGTCAGAAGGTACGCTGTATATATTAAGATTCAGGGGGGAAAAAGCAAACAAAGAAAAACCAAAACCCAAACACGTTTGGATCTGCAGGCTTGTTGCACATTCGCCCTTAAGCTTCTTCAAAGACAAAATGTGATTGTTTTCAAAACAAGGGTGGAAAAAACACACATGAAAGAGTTAAGAACACTCAAGATTTTGAAATGGTAAACAACCCAACTGAACCTTGCCCTAAGTTCTTACTTTAATGTAAGAAGCCCAGCCAGCCAGCATGTCCCCTACAGAAATAACTGCTGAGTAGCTTCAGGAAATTTGAGTAAGGACATTCTTATCTAACATCATAATTTGTAGGGAAGTTCACTTTAATGCTGCTTCTGCAGTCTTAGTGGAAGGACATTAAAGCACAAGAAGATTGTTTGTCAGCGTGGAAGCCGAATTTATTTCTTTTTGAAGTCACACCACCACTTGGAGTTCACTGTGGGAAAGTTTGTGCAGTGTTGCTGCCCTCCGAGGCCACAACATATACAGTAGGTATGTTTATAGTAAGCAGACAGACTAAGAAACCAAACAAAAGATAATCAAATGGTTTGTGCAGAAAAGGTTGAGCTTAACTGGACTGGAAAGACACGGGCAGATGCGAGCCAAGTACACAAACCAGAACTAACGCACACGGCTGCCAGAGCCACCCAAGAATTCTCCGTGTTTGCGTCTGCTTTAACCCTGTGATACGTATAATTACTGCAAGAAAGGATAACGCAACGTAAGCCACTGACCGTGGAATTTCTTTGGTCTAAGTCCTCTTAAACCGTTATTAGGCGATGACGTTTGTCACGATAAAGTCTTCTGGGCAAGACTCAAGTGGGCAGGTTCTTTGTATCCAAGATGTCGCATCACTTCTGGTAAAAGCTAAAGAGTTAATTCTCATCCTGGTTGAACTACAGCGACGAAAAATCCTGTTCTCCCTGATTAAAAAGCCCTTTGCTGTTTCCCCAGGGTACAATCTCTTTGTATGCCTTCTACCTAAAATGAAGTGCTCGATTTTCTGGGATGTTTAAGAGTTGTCTTGTCACACCTCAAACTGGCTAAAATTCAGTGATAAATGAAACCCTATTAAAAGCATCCTGAAAAAAACCAAACATATAGGCAGGTCAGGTACAAATATGCAGGGAGGGTTAATTCGATGTCATTCCTTTATGTAACTCAAATTTCCTATTCAAAACCTGTGTTTGCCTACAATCTAAAAAGCTTAACAACTACATGAGGAAAAAAAAAAAGGGAAAAAAATGCAAGTTTAATTTCATTATCCAGCAAGCTTCTTTTCTTGACAATAAATATATTGCACAATATTTAATTATTTTTGAGACATAACTAAAGGGAAGGTGAAGATGTCCTATTTATGAAGTGTACTAGATTTGCAACATGTAGAAGTTTGATAGGTGTTAATAAAATTAGATAGCTGAGGGATTTTTGTTACATTCTAAAATAGCCAAAGAATGACGAAGACAGTTCAAAGCACCAAAATGACCAAAGATTACTTGCACTTGTCTAAACTCCCGATTCTGAAACTTTTGCCTTCAAACGACAATACAAAAGGATTTCTTCCTCTTTACATTGCAAATGCAACTTCAAGGCACAAGCACTTAATAAAGGACAGTTGTCACGTCAGTTTAGATAAGAGTCAATAAGGGCTAATAAAAATGCGGGTTTCTAATGTATTTAAGTTTAGCTGATATTAGTATTCCACGTATGAAAGGCAAATTTGTCACAATCAAAAGTCAACTTTTTAAAAAACATTTACCCATGCATGACTAGAATCTCAAGAACTTGAACAATAAAATGTTTGATAGAGATAATCAGGAATGCTGCAAATGGAAAAATTCTTTTATTACCCATGAGAAGCAACAATATTAGAAAAGTAATGCCCCAGTCTTGCTTCTCTGGCAGAAAATGTTATTACTACTAATAACAAAAATCTGAAGCCTTCATATTGCAGTCTGTTAAGCTCTGACCTCTCTCCTTAGTAAAGAAATCACTGAATTATTTCCCCAACTTTTCATAACATTTTTTAATAAAAAAGAAACTAAGCCACTGATGCAAGCATATCCTAAAAAGTGATAACACATTCAGTATGTGACCTTAAAAATATACAACTTTCAAAAAAGAGGAAATTTAGAAAACATCAAAGAAGTAGAAGCCCAAAAGATAAGGGTAAAAATAAATTAACAGTTTAAAATTGGTCATTAGAATCCAGACAAGCCTGTACTGGAACAGGGAAGGCTTAGCAGCAACTTGAAGCTGGATGATGCTAAGCTTTTCTCACCTTTATGTGGAGCACCTATCTGGGTATTTGCAGATTATTGAATGAAAGTATATTCTCCATATATACTTGGTTGAAATAAGAATACTTTCCTAAACTTTCAAAGATTCTTACTAAGAAAAAAAATCCTTGTATGAGGACATTTGAAATTCCCAGGATGATCTCTGTGCCCATCAATGCAAGAAAATTGTACAAAAGGACCCAGACTAGCAGCCTTGATTCACTATTTATTCCTTGGCTCATAAGTAAAACTCAAAAAAACCCCAAGGAAATGATGAAAAAAAATATCTTTTTAAGAAAAAAAAAAATCACAACTGTTCTTTATATTAGGCAGTTCAAAGTTAAAGCCATCTTGTATTTCCTTTCCTAACTTCCCCCCACTACTGAAGTATTCTGTTAGGTCAAGGGTCTTCTGTACCTGGGGTGGGATCGCTTGTAAATTAAATTTCTCAAATACCTGCAAATCACAGCTAGCAATTAAATGCTGGATGCTCACAGAGCAGTCACATCTTATGCTCATACCTTACAGATTCTCAAGTGCTGCCATCATTTAGTAAGTTGATTTGGTTTTTCCATTTTTAATAATTGCATGTTCTTCTTTAAGTATGAAACTCCCACTTAAAACTTCCCAAGCCTTTAAGAAGCCATTGGAGGCCGTGATCCATAGCAGGGAAGCCCTGTTCAGCAGCAACCACTTACAGACCTCTCTCTTCCAACCTCAAATCCTCTTTGTCAGGTAACTCCCACCAAGTCTTATCAGGCAATCAAGGTCTTTCACTAGAGACTTGTTTAATTACCATCCCTGGAGAGGAGACTGGAAAAAACTGATTTATGTGTCACGGTAGCCAATTTGTTATCCACGAGAGCTCCCATATCAGTGGAGGATCATCATAGCTTAATAACCATCCATTACCAACACAACACGATTGTAAAGTGGAAAAAGAAATACAAAGCAAATAAAATGAGATAAGCAAGAAGGCAGATCGACATCAATACAAAAATGCTAGATATAAAGAGATCCTTTGTCAGCATCAACTGGAACAATCTGTAAAATGGCCACGAGCAAATTTCCCCCTCAAAGCAGCTTTAACAGCCCAAGGTATTACAACTATCTGCTCACATAATCCAGGAATACAGGCCAAACACCCCAAATCTGCAAGTGACTGCTTGCACATTTGTTTCAGACACCTGCGAGGCACCTTGCCAAACTGGAGCTGACTGCTACTGAAAAGCTTTCTGGAGATCTACTCTCCCCCCTTCACAAAACTGCAATTCCTGGAAAATAGATTTGTCCAAGTCTGAAAGAGCTAGAAATTGTTCTCCTATTAATCTACAAGGATTAGTCGGTAACCGATCAAAACAATAACAGGAAAATACAAGATTTATTTTTTTTAAATAAAGAAAGTCGAAGTATTTCCTTAGAAACCATTTCTCATCACTCCTGACTGCAGCTGCCCTCTCTCCCAAACACAACTGAGTGAGCTCTCAACCTGTGAGAACTAGTAGAAAGTGAGAAAAAGAAAAAAAAACTTATTAAAAGTAATCAATAAAATTAAATTGTTACAAGGATATGAATCCTAATCAAATAGGTTAAAGATCTGGCGGTACAGGAGAAAGGGTTAAAAAAAATAAACAAAACAACTCAACAGGAAAAAATACAGTGGAATACAGCTACAGAGAGAAGGAACTTCACCCTGACCTTAGAATTGTTGTGGACTAATACCACAGAAAATACAGTCAAGGGAGCAAAGTGTTATAATAACAGTAGCCTTAAACGGAAATAAAATTTAAATTCATCTAGGTCCAAAATTTTCAATTAATTGCTCAGGAACAATACATAGATCAAGCCCAACAAATTAAACCTGTACATGCAAACATCAAAGAATATTAACACAGGTTCACGTTGATCTTAGCAAGCAATTTTTAAATCTCTCCTTATAAAAAAAATATATATACTGCCTCACTGGATTTACCTCTTGTGTGACACCAGCCCCAAAATACAGAGGATGTGTTCAAATCCTAAGGAAAGATGATAGCTTGAAAATAGATTTGATTTTACAGAAGTGTTTACAAAGTGGTTTAGAGTCCACAAAAAAATTTTAATACATATTAAAGTCCTCTTAGCTGTAAACATAGAAAGCTTTGGGGATCTATCTTCTACATTTTTGCTGAGATCCAATAAACACTAGTTCTGAAACTGTCGAGCCATCCAAGAAAGAACTCCTGCTTATTCCATCTCTGCAGCAGATGCTCTTTCAGATACTTTAGTTTTGATCTGTCAAAGTCAGGACAAATCTCAGCATCGTCACAAGAGCAGCACACTCACAAACACATTCCAAAGCCAAGGCCACACAAGAACATCAGCCAAAGTGCTGCAGGAGCTCCCACAAAGGTGGATTCTTTCCTCAGCAAAGCAAATTCACAAAGACACGCTATTCCTTCTGCCAGAGCCACAGAGCCAGCCTAAAGATTCCAATTATTAAAAGGAAAGGAAAGACGTTAACACATTGAAAAGCCTCTTGAACACTTTCAAAAGGAGGCAAACTCTGGGGAAAAAAACCCTATTGAGCTGTATTAATGGCTTGCAAACTCTGTAGTCCTTAATCAAAAAGACAGAAAGCCAAACTCTTCTTTCAATTACACAGGCACAAATTCAAAATAATGTTATCAAGTCATCAAGAAAGTCTGATTTTCTACCAGAGTAAGACACTTAGTTTTGACCAGCAGGATTATTATTTTCCTTGATTTATCAGTAACTATATTAAATACAATAAGATTATTAATAATATTATTAAAAATGAGGCATTACTAACGTTTTCTTCAAGATAATATGGATTCAGAATTAACCTTTTCAAGCTTTACCAGTTCATTTCCAAAAGACTAATTCCTACCCAAGTTTTGCTGACTAAATTCAGAGATACAGACTATGTTAATACGGAGTTTTCATTTCAAGACAATAAATAAGTAATATACTCTGTTTATTTTACCCCAAGATTCCAACTATTGAGACGTGCTTCAAGGTCACTGTCATCCAAAGAAAAGTGTTTTTTATGACGATGATCCTGGAACATAAAAAAAGTCAAAATATCAGAAGAGTTGGCAGATACAGTCTGAAAAAAATATAATAAAAAAATAAAGCTTGTCATTGACTTGGCCATGCCTACCTGCACTTTCAAATAGTATCACAATACTTCTGACAGCTTTAACCTAAGTAACTCAGTTACCAGTAGCAGTTTATGCTAAGAAAGGAACCCAGAGGATAAATTAGCCTCCCTCTTCACTTTTATGTTGGGTTTTCTTTTACTTTTTTTCCCCCAAAGCAACAGCCTCCTTTACAAAGGGTGAGTTTATTACACAAAAATCAAAATACTACATTCTTCAGGCAACGTACTTATTCTAGAAATGATCCTAATTCTATTTAATGTATCAAACAGGGGAGTTGGTACACAAAGTTTTCCTGTAACTGAAGTATAACACTACTGAGAAAAAAAACAAAAAACATTGAATCATGAACGACTTTGTCTCATTAAGTTTTTTAGCAAGAGGTTCATGTGCTGGCGTGCAAGCGCCTCTTCTTTAAACCTGCTCGTCCATTACGAACGTGCAGTGAATGGAGCTCTGACGTCAGGCCACCAACACTTGGTTGAGGCAGTTCTTAACATTTCTTAATAGACTCCCTGTTCTTCTACCTGGGCCTGAGTTACGCCAGAACATCTGTGCATCCCTGACAACAGAACAAGATCCGATTTGTTCCAGTCAGCCAAACGTTCATCAAACTGTTTGGCAAAGCAAGAGAGGATTGTTTCACTTAAAGGCCCCCTTAAAGCTGGAATCACAGTAGAATCCCAGTGTATGGAGCTGAAGAGCAACAAACTGCAGGAATTTGTCTTACATTGCCCTGGAAGGTGGTGGCAGAGCCAGGAACCAAACAAAAACAAAAACAACAACAACAGAAAAAACCAAAGCCCCCAAAAACTTTAAAGACCCAAATCCAAGTTTAAACTTTGGGAAATCATTTTCTTGACAATAACTGTTCCTAACAACTATTTCTTCAAGTCAACTAAAACAAACAGAAGTCAATAAGCAGAAATTCAGTAAGTCCAGCATCTGGTTTTATTTTTTTATTTTTAATTATGGCATTTATTTTTAAAGTTACATTTGTATATACACAATCAACACACACAAGTACATTCGTACCAACCAGAGCCTAGAGCAGAAACATTTAATTTTTGCCCACAGACCATGTGTAGCCTGGCACGGTAAAGCATCCCCTTGCTAGTCCACTATTCCAAATGCACAGCAGAACACAAACCTCCTCAGAAGCAGACTTCCAGGTTACCCCACTTGCACTTGATTGTGCCCAGCAAAGAAGGGTAAGGACAGTCTATAGGAATTGCCCAGGTGTCAACAGACCCACTGCTAGCTGCAATCTTTCAACACTGTGACACCATTAAAAAAAAGCGTGGGCAGACCTACAACATATGTCCAGCAAATTCAGTGTTTCGCAGAGGAATGAGAGCGGTTACAGAAGTACTGGCTGTGATGAAGGAATCGCAGGAGACAGACCACTCCAGTAATAAAAACTGGATACTAAAAGGCTACAGAACACATTCACGAAGGAAAACAGCACACTTGTTGATAACACATATTTGTGAGAAGTCATTTTCGGTTTAAATGCTTGCAATTACACATACAATATCATGAAATATTTCGGACTAAAAGTGTTTTACATGAAGTCTGGTCAGTGTCCTTCATCAGCCATAATGCTTGTGGTGGAAAGTTTGTTTAAAATAAAAAAAAAAAATGTCCAATATTCACTCTTTCAGAGGTCAACCATCATTAAACAGAGCCACAGAGATCTATGCAGCTTTCTTTAATTTGCTATTGCGAAATACACGATGATGTCAATACAGTCAGTTTGCCAAGCCTGGGAAAAAACAAGGCAGCAGACATTAAGCACACTACACTAAACAGAGGTCAACCAGTAGGATGAACTGAGAGCGTCCTACAATAAATTCTTCTTCCCTGCCCTCGCAAGGGGCAGATTTAGATGAGCTTTAGTCCTTCCTATCACTCTCTCCCAAATGTCTGCACTTGTGCACAGGGATCATGACTCAGGCAATCAGAAATAACAGCTTTATGGGGATACACAGAAACAACTCATTGAAATTAAAGCAAATTACAACAAAAAAGGAGAAGCATCTTACAGACAGTGGTGTGGCTAGGTTATCTTCATCTGTCCTGTGAGGAGGACTCATAGAATGTGATCTTAACGCTGGCTTCTCATTGTACTTGAATCTTTCCCTGTTATTAACAAGAATAGGCAGGAAGAGAAGAATTAATTTTCAACAACTTCTGGCACACAAAGAATGTTAATCTTAAAATAAAATCTTTTTAAATATACAAAAGAAAACAATTGTCAAGATGTAACGATCAAAAATAGTAGAACGAAATAGACAAAAATTTCTTAGTAAAGGTATGTTAAAGGCAAACAAAATCCTTGAGCATTCCATTCAACAAACAACACCCAAAAGTCCCCACACTAACAAAAACACCAGAAACATCACGTATATCGCAGTATATTAAAAGGTGTTCTTTGTGCTTTTGTTACTGCCTGACCCAACATCTCCCAACAGGTCCAAGTTAACTGAGAAGACTGATCTAGGAGAACATTTTTGAAACAAAATCGCCAGGCTTATGACAGCACAGGTTAAAGCCCAGCCACCCAGAGAATAAAAAGGAATTAAAATGATGGTTGGATGCACCATAGGGGAGAAGACTATTAAGACCAAAAAACAGGAAATTAGATCAAGGTATATCTTTATATAACATACAAACATGAAGACAAGGGCAAGAACTAGATACAGTTCAGTGAAGTGGTATATAGGGGGGATGATGAAGAAAGACTCACAAGACAGGATACGAGTACTGCCTGAGAAAGTACTGTCCAGTATACAGGTATCTTCTCGGAAAGCTTTTGCCAGAAGTAAAGCACTTGAACAAAAGCAAATTAAGAATAACAGATGGGCAAAGACAACCTTCACTGTTACACCTGGTCAACTGACCTTTCTCAACAGTGAAAGAAAAGAACAGCTTGGAACAAACCAAAATAAAATTTCTAAGAGTTTATTACATAGATTGATACAGCAAAAAGTTCCCAAAGAGTGGCGAACCACCCCTCAGCATGTACTCCAATGTCAAACCCACACATATCCAAGTCGTCAGAAACTCCCGTTAGTCCATTCACCTTCCTACGACTGGCAACAGCGTATTAAATACAAGTCAGACCATTAAAATACCTTTCATTCCTTCCATCTGGCAGCAAATTAGCCAGTAAGTTATGCCAAAAAGACACTAAGACGAATTAAGTGTTTATGAAGAGAAAGACAACTGCTGGATGTATAGTATAAACTAGTCACTTCTAGGAAGACAAACACCGACAAATTTTTCCCAAAGCACGCCGCCCCAGCTTTCATCAAAACAGCAGGGAACAGTGAACAACTGGGAGCATACCTTCCCTTCCAGCCCCAATAAATACCAGCAACATACATGGATGCAAAATAACAATTCCAAAGCAATAAATAGCGCAGATAAGCAAAGCCTCAGAGGTAAAAAAACCACACAAAAAAACCCACAACACCACAAAAGAAAAGAAATATAATACAATGTCTCCAGCATTCCAAATCATGCATTTCTTACCAAGATTTCATTTGACACAAATTGTGTTTCATTAGAAGCAAACAAATCTTTGTCTGTCAGTAAATGTGCAATTTTATCAGACTTCTTTTCTGAACAATACTTAGCTTGCCTAACAATTCAGTAAAGTTGCAGCTGTTTAAAACAGGAATCAACAGGTCACGCCCCTATCACTTGGAGATTAAAGGACAATCAATAAACATCAAGGATATTGGGGATATTAATAAAATATTCAAACCAACTCAAGTTGCTTTATATCTGTAATATTTTTAAATTGATAAAATAAGGGAAAAGAACCCTCTAGATATACTATTGATTCTATATTTGTTAGTTTGAATAGGAACTGAAGAGGAAGTTGCTTCTATAAACAGAACTTGAAAAGGCCACCAAGAACAGATGGCAATTTTGCTCAGATCAAGCATATACTACCCATTCACTGCCTTTTCTAACCTTCTGCTGATATGAGTCAGGCTCCAGAAATCACAAGATTATTTCTCTTTCCTCCCATGGCAGGTGAGCAGAGAACGGGCAGAGCCTTGACACCAGCCCTGTGACCTCCTGCTTCAGCCAAAACAGTGAGCTAGCACGGGAGAAGGAAGCAATTTGCTCCTAATAAGGGAGATTAGTAAATAATTTCCTACCAGGAACAAAGTAAGGGAAACTCACTGGTTCCTCCCACACACTAACCTTTAACAATGTTTTTCAGGCATAATCTATAAACATACAGCAGAATTTTCCTACGGGGTCAGAAAGACTAGGTTTCTGTTCAAACCAAACTACACATTCCTGAAACCAGCTCTCTCATGTTTCAAAATAAAGATGCACCTCTCCAGCACCAGTCTGCCTGGCTTTAGTCATTGACACCCTAGTTTGCAAGTCAGGTTTGTCCATCTACTTTTTACACAGTCAGATAAACAACTTCTTATAGCAAAGCCAACAACTTCATACATAGAATTGTGTGTATTGCAAGACAAAACTATGAAAAGAACTTCTCCATCTGCTTGCTTCTTTTAAAGAAGGGAATCTTCAGACAAATAAACATCAAAAAAATTACTCAAACATTGCTCACTGACATTATCTTTTTTGCCCTGAGAAAATGTTCCGTAAGAACTGAGTCACAGCTGCAATGCTAAATTTTTATCCATCTCCTGCAGACCTGTGGACACAGTTTTCGTCCTGCGTTGTACTTGTCTCTACTCAGAACGTGTAACAACATCACCATCTGCTGGCTCTCTCTACAAATTGCAGATTCCAGAAATACCAATACTTGGCATCTTTACCTGCACTCATAGCTCAGTCAGAACTGTAAATACAAAGAAAGACAGGATCTATACGTTGCACATAACTAACATCTTAATATGGATACATAGAAATAACTTTAACATGATATTTCTACAAGACAACAGCTGAAACATTATCTCCAGTATTTCTTCCTGCATAATTCACTCATTTAACATGTTTCCCATTCCTATAAGGATTAATTTATGTGATCTGCAGAGCTATCAACATTTTGAACTGCCAGCACAAATTCAGATTTCCTCAGGCACGGCTCCATCCTTGGTATGAGTACCTGGTAGTAGAGCTGTGCCTAGAGGAGTAAGACTCGCTTCCAGATTTCTTTAAACCAGTAACTTATTCCATCACATTTTACTTGCTTCTCCCACCATGAATTAACAGGCAACACCAGTCTCCAGAGCCCTCACCAGAGCCTTGGGACCCATCTGCTGATCACCAGCGCAGGTACCACTACAATCCCACAGGACAAGGAACACCTCCTCTTGTACAGAGCCTACCAAGTTTCATGCTGGACCTCTAGGAGTGCTTTTTTCACCAAGGATTTCAGAGAGTTTAAACATTAACTGAAATTCAAAATGAGTCAACAAGAAGCAATTCCACCCATGACTGACGTGTAGCCACATGAAAAAGAACACAGATCTTGATAATCAGTGCAAAGCTGCACTGTGTGAGAAAAGCTGGAATGAAAGCAAGTACCTCAGAACAGAATGGAGAATAAACTAAAATTTACCTAAGATTCCCATAAAACAGGACAGAAAAAAGCCTCTGATTTTCAACACCATCCAACTGACTGGCTTGGCACACCTTCAGTGCTGCCAACACGAAAACAAGCCTTAATAACCTCACACACTTCATCCTTTTGCCTGCTCTGGAAACAGCTCTGTACCCAACAGACTGGAACTAAGGAAGAGGCTTAAGCTTAGTGGCTCCTGCTAACCTACAAAAAGAGACTGCCCAATGGACTACCACGACAAGGCGCAGCTACAGATATTCAGAATTCTGCTGTACAGCTGCAAATGAGCAACATGGAAATTTTTGTATTATCGTAATGACAAACATGCAGGCTCCGGGCACAGGGGGTGCTAGTCACCCACAAAGCACATGTATTTGTAGCAGACAGCGTGGTATCAATCAAAACATTTCAAATCAGTCTCAGAGAGAGATTTGTTCAGACAAGGATGGAGTTATTGCAAACAAACCTCCCCACACAGGAGAAGAAAACAACACGGTGGAGTATCCCACAGGCAGCAGCTTTGATTTTTAGCGTCCTAAGTTTTAACAAGTATAGCGGGTCCACGCTGACCTTCTGTAATCCAAGATTCATGAAGCTTGCTATTTCATAAAGAAGCCATGATGAAACACAGATAAATGTTTAATAAGAACATGCTTGCAAAAGGACCGATCAAATCCCTCTTTCTTCGTGCACATCTAACTTTTCTTCCTTTGTCACAGCACGGCAAAACTTGTTTATCTGCAGGGAATCACTATTCTGTTTCCCTTAAAAAAAATCTGTGAACAACAATGACAGAATATCCTTTAAATCTTATCATCTGTATGCTTGTTTGTGTTTCTACTCTCTATAGAAAAAAGCCATTAAAAACTATTTTATAAAAAAGCTCCTTTCAACATTATGACAGACTACAACTCTTAAAAAAACATCACATATACAGTTACTCTCCTCACAGGAAGACTTACAGAGGCCAGAGAACACAACATAATGGAAGAGCACAGTCAACAGAAAAGTAGGAAAATTTTAAAGTTAGAAACTATTACCAGAGTTTCTGTACATAAAGTACAAACACCATATTCAAGATGAGTTCATGAGGAAGTGTAATAAATTCATATGTACAAATTGAAACATACAGGCAGAGCTGATAAAATCAAGCTCATGCTAAATATGAATCAAATACAGAACAAAGCAAAATACAGAAATCTTACCCATATGTAAGAGATGTTGCTAAAGACAATTCCTCTTTAGAAGACACCTTGCACAACTCCTCGTGCTTAGATTCGCTGTTTCCTAGTTCTCCCATTACCCAGTCAGGTAAGCAGTCTGGGCTACTTGTTGATTTTGGTTCCTCAAAGTAAATCGACTATAATTAAAATAAATGCAAAATCACTACTAGAATACATCTACATAAATACATTATTTACACTGTTAATGTCATTTCTTGCAGGAATATCTGTAGTATAAAAATTTCTTTTTCCAGTGAGGTATGCAAAGTTTACTTTCCCACCCCATAGAAATAAGTACAACAGGGAGCCGTGTAAATGTTTCCTGGTACTTCTTTCAGTACAGGTAGTTTTAGCACAAATTAGGACAGTTACCTCACTAAAGCTGATACCAGTGATTGGCACAGTATAATCAGTTTTTCAAAAAACAGACTCCAAGCTTATCTATGTGAAATGCTATTTTCTTTCATACAAAGATTGACTACTATAGTCACCTCAGACTACTAGGAGTTAGCCCATTTAAACACATCTTTCACAAAAACTATCTGCTGATCAGGTAAGGTACAGCCTCAAGAGTATTTTATTGCATCTTTTCAACTAATTAAGACAAAAATTGTCTTCCTCTTCTTTCAGACTGCTTATATAAGCCTTCTCAGAACCTGAATTCTCAGGAACGAACAGGTCTCATTAAAGGTTTTGCATATTGAAAGATTCTTTCCAACGTCAATTAGAAGATACACAACATAAAAACTTCCATTTACCACATGCAGCTCCACTCAATTCATTCAGAATTCTTTTTCACGCTGACACCAGGTCAAAGATTTTAAGCAAGTCTGAAGTTCCACCCACCATGTATGATGGAAAAGTTTTCAGTATTCCTGGTTCTGGTTTATGTGCAAAAGGACCTTCCAGCACACTTCGCTTTAGCATGTGGAGCAAAAGTTTTGCATATAGGTTCCGATTCTTCCTTCCCACTATTCCTGTGCCTGCTCCTGAGGGTTCACATAGTTTTTTAATCCACAGCGCACATCTTTGTCGTTCTAAAAAAAAAAAGATACGTGTAATCACTACACATTTGCAGAGCAAACCAAACACAGAAGGAACACAAGCCGCTGCTAGTCACTAATTTTGTACACGCTTCTCTTTTATCCAAAAGCTTAAACCAAACAAAAACACCCAAATGACTGAAGCAAAGGGAAAAAAATGGTAAAACACCTAATTAAAAATAAGTCCTTAATCATAGCTCAAATTTACATCACCCAGAAATATTTTCTATAAATTCATGCTTAGCAGAAGTTTACATGACTTCTGGAAATAGCATGTTCTGGATCAATCTCCACCGAGTACAGAATACATAAGTCACCAGGAATTCTGAACTCACTGAAAGAGCTGCCACTAACCACAACACACAGCTTGCATGAGAGTTAATGTTTTAAATAGAAAAATAAATCTTCATTCATTTTAAAAAGACCTGTTTAAACAAGCTTTGCTACCAGATTATGAAATTACCCATTTGATTAAATGTTTACAAAGCAAGGTCTTAATTTGCAAGGTTTGTGCCTTTAGTAATAACCAGTTTGTGCTAATCATTAGATTTATAAAACATCATTTATTATTTGATGTTTATATTATTACACATTGCTAAAGTATATTTTAATAACCTTATCTCACATAAATATTTGCAATTTCATAAGTGCAACCTCAGAAACAATGCCTTTGAGAAGCTTTTAGTTTATACTGATTTTTTTTAAAATAAAAGTATTCACGTATTTATGCAAAAGCACATTTACATCACCAAGATAAGACAGATAAGCTCAAACAACAGCAAGAGGTACCTAAAAAAATCCAATTTTAGAAGTTGTGCAAATCCCCTTCAAAACAGTGCCTTGAAACATCAGGCATTAAGCATCTGATTAAAGAAAGCGATATGAGTACATCTAATAATTATCAGTTCTCTAGAACTTTATTAGCATCTCTCTTAAATGCAAATTTTACCATATTTACCTGACCTATGCTGTAGTTTTAGAACATAGGGCTTCATATCCTCAACATAGTGATCAAACTCTGCATCTAGTTTTTCCCAGACTTCCTCGTCACCGTTCATTTTGAAGGAACACAGCAAACACCTGCAAAATTATTCCCAGTGAAGCAGAAACAGATCAAACACCACTCGACATGAGTCTCTGGTCATCTTAGGCCACATAAAGATGTACTTCAGAAGTGTAAGGGAAATCAGACTAAAATATTTTGTTAGGTGAACACAAACCAAGAGTGATTCTTTGCAATCAACAGATCCTCGATGCAACTTACAGGAATGTTTTTGTTTAGATTGCAAAGTGTCCAACCACACCAAAACGCATCCGGTTGCACCAATTTGTATCAAACACCTGAAGGCGTTTGTGCCCTCACCACCCTCACGAGTTTTTCTGCCTTTGAACTAGTTTGGTGAGGGTTGGGGTTTTTTTTAAAGGAAATGGGGGAAAAGAAGGAAAACCAGCCAACAGACTGATGAGCCGAAAGGAACAGAACCCACCAAGGTCGCCGGAATTGTTCTTAAACGCAGGAGCAGTGCCAAGACAAACCGCTCCTCACCCCAGACCACCTGCCA